TGAAGGTGGGTCGGGAATCCAGCGTGGGAGAGCCTGGCTATGAGCGTTGCCCCGAGCTGTGCGGGCAGATAACCCTGTGGAGCTGTTGGAGAAAGAAATCGGGGCTCCTGTGGAATCCCTGCCCTGGGGAGGTTGGGAATGTGCAGATCCTGCAGGCCTATGTGTGCTCCACAGCTTTCTCCTTGGTCTCCGGGAATGGGAATACACCGTGGGCAGGTTGTTGGGTTTATGTGTCAACACACTGTTCTGTCCTAAACCCAGGATTCCATGAAGGTCTTTAATTTTCTCCCCACTATATCAAGCCTTCCTTGTGTGTGGGCACATGGGGTGGTCACCTAGGCTGGATTCAGTCTCATTTTCCACGTCCCTTCCAGAACAACGACTTCCTCAGGAACACAGTGCACCGCCACGAGCCGCCGGTCACTGCTGAGCCCATCCGCATCCTGGCGCAGGATGAGGAGGTGGTGGTGGTGGACAAACCTTCCTCCCTGCCTGTCCATCCCTGTGGCAGGTTCAGGCACAACACTGTCATCTTCATCCTGGGCAAGGAGCACGGCCTGAAGGAGCTGCACACCATCCACCGCCTCGACCGCATGACCTCAGGTGTCCTCATGTTCGCCAAGACCGCGGCCGTGTCCAAGAGGATTGATGAGCAGGTCCGGGAGAGGCAGGTGAGGCCTTGGAGCTGCTTCTGCTGTGTTCTCCTGTGGCAGGTTTGGTCCAAAGTCAGCCAAAGTTCGGGGCTCAGTGAGCACAAGTTCACCAAAAAGCTTGTGGGTGTGAGGCTGTTATCTCTTGGCGCTTCTCATCCTTAATAGGCTAAAGACAGGGTGAAAAGTTAATTGGGTTTGGTGATGTTGGGTTGAAAATACTAGGTGGGAAACCCTAAAAATGGAATTGTTGATAATATTGGATTGGAAGGCATCTCCCCAACATCTAATTGAGTTTGGTTGTACTGGATTGGAAGGAATATCCTAAAAATGGAACTGATTTTGGTAATATTGGGTTGAAAATATTAAATTGAAAATCCTAAAAATGTAACTGAATGGTATTATTAAATTGAAAAATATCTTCTAACACTTTAAATGATTTTGGTAATTGAATTTGGTGATACTGGCTTGGAGGAGATCTCCTTCCCTAAGGAACTGTGCAAACTGGGATCCAAACCAGTTGGAGAGTGGATTTCTCTCTGGGTGGACACATGTCCATCATCCAGTACTTTCTCAGTTTTAAAAGTTTTGTAACCTTTTCCCATTTTTTCCATAACCTCATGACCCAAACAGAGCTTTTACCAGGATTGGCTTCAGGGCTGTAAACCTAAGGCTGTGGAGAGATGTCCCTTGGATTCCACAGCAGAAAAATGGGCTGTGCTCGTGTTGTTGGTTTCCCAACAAACACATGGAAAGTGTGAGGGGAAATTTGGCTTTAAATAGCTGATGTATTTTTTTTCCTTTTCCTACTGTAATAAAACATTGCCCATGGATGTGTTTTGTTGAAGGGAAAGGGAGGAGGAGTGAGGATGGAGTTTGGGTGTGTTTTCTGTCGTGTTTTCTGAACCCTCTCATGTCTCCCTGCAGCTGGAGAAGGAATACGTGTGCCGGGTCGTGGGTGAGTTCCCAGCACACGAGGTGGTCTGTGAGGAGCCCATCCTGGTTGTTTCTTACAAGGTGGGAGTGTGCCGGGTAGATCCCAAAGGAAAATCCTGCAAAACCATCTTCCAGAGGCTCAGCTACAACGGCAGCACCAGCGTGGTCAGGTGTGTGCCGCACACCGGCCGCACACACCAGATCCGTGTCCACCTGCAGTACTTGGGACATCCCATTGTCAATGATCCCATCTATAACATGGAAGCGTGGGGCCCGGACAGGGGGAAGGGTGGGAAGATTGGGAAAACGGATGAGGAGCTCCTGAAGGCACTGGTAGAGGAGCATCGTTCCAAGCAGAGCCTGGAGGTCTTGGGTATTTCTGAGGAGGATTTGAGCTCCAGTGGTGAAAATAAAGACTGTGGGAATTCAGGTGACTCCACAAAGTCTGCAGAGGCTGATCCTCTAAATGGAATTTCCTGCCCTGAAGAGGATGCAAAGGATCCCAGGAGGGACACAAAGGATCCTGATGGGAGCATGGAGGTTCCCAAGAGAAACGATGTAGCAGTTTGTCCACTAAACTCTGATACCAACCTGGAAACACTTGATACAGACAAAGAACTTGTTTCATGTGGGAATCAGGATGGGCAAATGGGGGAGAAGGGTTGGGAAGAGAAGGACCCTTTGTGTGTGGAGTGTAGGATGACCAGGAGGGATCCATCTCCCAAGGAGCTGGTGATGTTCCTCCATGCCTTGCGCTACAAGGGAGCAGAGTTTGAGTACTGCTCCAAGATGCCTGAGTGGGCAATGGATGACTGGGAGGAATGACCAAGGGTATCAAATGCCTATGGACACTGCTGGCTTGGAAAGACCAAAGATTGACTTGTCAGTGTGGTTGAGGTGAATAAAGTGCCTTGAGGTGACACTTGAAGGCAACAAACAGCAAACACTGCTTGGCACGGGCAGCTTTGCCTTCACCTCTGCATCAGTTATCCACATGGATCATTAAGTGCATGCACTAAAAGCCAACAGCTGCTTTTTCTCCTGGCCTGCCATGATCCTGTGTCTTACAGTAAGAGCTGCTGCTTGTCAGTCAATACACAAAACTGGTTTAACTCTATTTTATTGTCAGACTGATTTTAAAATTCAGATTATCCCTTAGAACTCCATGAGGAGAAACCAGAGCACTGTGACCCAAATGCATTTGGTGTCTGATGGTTGTTAGCAAGGTCAGCTTGGCTTTGACATTATCAGTATTTTTTCAAATATTTGTCTACTTTAAAGTTAGTATCTCTAGGGGCTAATCCCATGATATTGTACCTGGTTTGGGAGGTCCTAGTCCCCAGGTTTCATCTTTAAGAGTGTGACAATCAGCTTTCAGGGGAAAAAAACCTATTTTGTGAACCAGATAAAAAATTATTTTCTATCAATATGTTTCCAAAATGATAAATATCACTACAGTTCTGATTTTCATCAGTGTTTATTGGTTGATTTTTGGCCTCTGAGAGGACTGTGATCCAGGGACCTCAGGTTGCCTAGCCCACAGGAATTGCAGCCAAAGGTCTCATGATTCTGATTTGGTCACAGATACTTGGAGACGTGATGCTGAAAATTAGTGGGTTTCAATTTTTTTTAATGCATTGAGCTACATATTTCATGGAACTAAATGAAACTTGGGCACTTCAGTGTATAAAAAAGTGTGGCTGGAGCTGTCACTGGATTGGGATACAGGGGAAAGGTGGTAGGTTTAGGGACAACAGTTAAATTAGGCTTTTGCTCTCTTGCCACCCCTTTAGGCACTGGAAGGGGCTCCAAGGTCTTGCTAGAGCTTTCACTTCTCCAAGCTGAAAAATCCCACTTCTCTCAGCCTTTCCTTATAGGACAGGTCTTCCAGACCTCCAGCATTGCCCAAAGGTCCTGTGAAGGACCCAGACAGCCCAAATAAGATTTTTGGTTGGGATTCCAAGAGATTCAAAGGGGTTTGTGGCACAGCAGGGCTGGTTCCTGAGGAGGAGGAGGGAAGCACAGGCACCACAGGGACCCCACACCATGACTGTGACCCCTGAATCTCTCAGAACACTATCCTGGGTGGCATCTCCACTTCCTTGTCTCCCCATAAGGAAGAGACGGGAGTAGGAAGTCACCTCGGAGGTGGTGGAGAAGGGGGGGGGATTAAAAAAAAGAAAAACGCCCCAATTAAGGAAAATAATTTTTTCCCCGACGAGGATGGGATTCGAACCCACGCGTGCAGAGC